CTACCCATGATTTGCTACTTCTGTGCTGCAGACAGTAAAACATGTTTACTACTTATATGAAGCTATAGTTAAGCCAAAGTGCCTTAAATTTCAATTTCCATCCTTTTTGTTACACAGGTGGATTTGTAAACACATTAAGTAGAATGTTAAGTAGAAAGCTTTTTGATCCAAGAACCAGAACCATCAGGATAGCTTTTCATTGGAGTATAAAGCAGAATTATGTTGTTGGAGGAAACTCTTGAGAGTCCCAAGGACTGCAAGATCAAACCTATCCATTCTGAAGGAAATCAGCCCTGAGTGCTCACTGGAAGGACAGGTCCTGAAGCTGAGACTCCAATACTTTGGCCACCTCATGAGAAGAGAAGACTCCCTGGAAAAGACCCTGATGTTGGGGAAGATGGAGGGCACAAGGAGAAGGGGACGACAGAGGACAAGATGGTTGGATAGTGTTCTCGAAGCTACCAGCATGAGTTTGACTAAACTGCAGGAGGCAGTGGAAGACAGAAGTGCCTGGTGTGCTCTGGTCCATGGGGTCATGTAGAGTCGGACACGACTAAACGACTAAACAACAAAAAAAATAAAGCAGAACTGTTTTCTAAGTGAGTAACAGGAATAACGTCTATTGAGTGTTAGTTTTTTCCACTGCTTCTAAATTATCAGGTTGCTGACTTTGTCTGAAAAGGTTATTTTTCCTCTGCTGATAACTGAAATAGTTCAGCTATAGATATTCAGTAACTTCATGATATATGCTCAAATAATTATCTTTTCTGATAATTTTTACAACTGAGATGTTTAAATGTATTTCAGCATGGTAGATAATAAAAAAGAATGGCTGTTTAACCTGAGATTTCAAACCCTACACAAATCCTTATTTGTGTTGTCATCTGTATTTAAAAGGCCTAAGACTATATTATTAAATTATTATTATTATTATTATTATTATTATTATTATTGTTGTTGTTGTTGTTGTTGTTGTTAAGATTCCAGTGTATTAAGAATTAATAAAATGATCCAGAGATACTAGTGGCGAGTTGAAAAGAACCCCCCTCTTTCTCATTTGGGTAATTCATCATAATCAGTACTGAGTCCAGCACCTCACTTATTCAGAGATGGGTGGATTTCACAACTAACAGCAAGCAAGCAGTGACTAGAAAGTATTCTGAGATAGTAGAGAAGTGAACTGGACAGGGTGACATCCTGTTTTCTCAGCTGGGATTGTTTATTTGCAAATAGCAGCCTCGCCCTCTGAAGTAACCTAAGGACTTTGAGCATGTAAACAACTGCTTTGTTAATTACATTGAACTAACTACAAATCAGACCAAACATATTGTTAAAGTTTTTTGGGGGGGTACCCCCCTAAACTCTAAAAATTAATAAATGGAAGGATTTTGATTAGTTGGGATGTGAAGGGAGAAATGCAAGTTGCAGAGGAATTCCTTGGCTAGCCTGTGCAAAAAAAACACGACCTGGCCAAGCCAGGGCCGTCAGGAAACAGTACAGGGCCACTGAGGGCCATTGGCATAGCAAAAGAACTGTCCCCCCCTCTTGCCCTGAGGTGTGAACAGAGACTGGGGATTTGGAAGTTTGCCTGGGTAACTGGGTATGAAGTGTCAGGAAAAATCACCTGTTAGCAGGTGTGCTGCGTAGAAGGAGGAGGAGGAAAGAGGCAGAAAGAAGACTAGGATCCATCTTGGGAAGGTTGGATGAAGGCTCGCTGCACTGCTGTGGGGGACAAGCCCATCTTGAAATGATGCTGTAAGCTCTGGACTCCCTCCATGCAGACTGAAGGTGCAAATAGGTGAATAAAGCATGTTTCTTAAAGCTATGGCCATCTCTGCCATGTCTCAGTTCTCCAAAGGAACACAAACGTTGGGTGAGTGCCTGGAACCCCCTGGGATCTTGCTATTGCTCAGCAGAGAGTGAATGTGGCACCCAACTTTTGTAACAATATTAATTCCATTTACCTGTGTTAATGTCACACGTTCTGGAAATCTCATTTTAGACATTTTGTTCAGGACTTCCCCATTAAGATTAGAATGTAGGGACAATCCATATACTTGGAGGATAGCATTTATTTAGAGCAGGGATTAGAGACCTGTGGCCATTCAGATATTTCATAGAATCATAGAATTGTAATGTTGGAAGGGGCCGTGGGGGTCATCAAGTCCAACCCCCTGCAGTGCGGGAATATGCAGCTGTCCCATACCAGGATTGAACCTCCAGTTCCCATTAGCCCCAGGCAGCATGGCCAATGGTCAGGGACAATGGAAACTGAACATCATCTGGTGGGTCACTTCTCTGGTATGGGAGTAATAATAATAATAATAATAATAATAATAATATATTATTTGTACCCCACCCATCTGGCTGGGTTTCCCCAGCCACTCTGGGCGGCTTCCAACAAAGATTAAAAATACATTAAAATGTCACACATTAAAAACTTCCCTGAACAGGGCTGCCTTCAGATGTCTTCTAAATGTAAGGTAGTTGTTTATCTCTTTGACATCTGATGGGAGGGCGTTCCACAGGGCAGGCACCACTACCGAGAAGGCCCTCTGCCTGGTTCCCTGTAGTTTGCTTCTCGCAATGAGGGAACTGCCAGAAGGCCCTTGGTGCTGGACCTCAGTGTCCGGGCAGAACAATGGGGGTTGTGATGCTCCTTCAGGTATACTAGGCCGAGGCCGTTTAGGGCTTTCAAGGTCAGCACCAACACTTTGAATTGTGCTCGGAAGCGTACTGGGAGCCAATGAAGATCTTTCAAGACCGATGTTATGTGGTCTCGGCGGCCTCCTCCAGTCACCAGTCTAGCTGCCGCATTCTGGATTAGTTGTAGTTTCTGGGTCACCTTCAAAGGTAGCCCCACATAGAGAGCATTGCAGTAGTCCAAGTGAGAGATAACTAGAGCATGCACCACTCTGGCGAGACAGTCTGCGGGCAGGTAAGGTCTCAGCCCGTGTACCAGATTGTGATGGCTTGAGAATACTCTCCGCAAGAAAAGCTCCTGCTCACTCAGAGATACATAGATACAGTCTTTATTTTACATATGTACAAGCAGCACACATACTATGCGCCCGAATCTTGAGAGTCAGATTCCCGAAGTGACTTACGTCCGCCCCTTTTCCAACAGAAGAGGCGAGGCATTCTCAATTGATGTCTCTGTCCCCTGCGCTTTAACCCCTGCCAAGGAGTGTGGTGGAGTCTCCTTCTTTGGAGGTCTTTAAGCAGAGGCTTGACAACCATATGTCAGGAGTGCTCTGATGGTGTTTCCTGCTTGGCAGGGGGTTGGACTTGATGGCCCTTGTGGTCTCTTCCAACTCCATGATTCCATGATTCTATGATTCTATGATTCTAACCCTCTCCTTTCCTGAGCAGATAGAACCAGCACTGCATCACTGTCAGTGCCAGAGCTTCCTGTGCGGAGTTGAGGCTCTGCTCCAGCATCTGAGAACCTTCCCTCCTCCTGACTTCCCCTCCTTTCTTGCACTGGCACTTCCTGCCCCCCTTCCTCTGCTTGTCTCTCCTTCTCCTCCCCTGCATTCTCCGGCAATTCCATGACACAGATGGAGCTGATAAACAGCTGCCCTGGACACAGAATTGACCTGTGCCTCCAGCTGTGAGTCCAAAATGAGTCCCAGGCTGCGCACCTGGTCCTTCAGGGGCACAGTTGCCCCATTCAGGACCAGGGAGTCCTCCACACATGCCCACCTCCTGTCCCCCAAGAACAGTACTTCTATCCTGTCAGGATTCAACCTCAATCTGTTAGCCGCCATCCATCCTCCAACCGCCTCCAGGCACTCAGACAGGACCTTCACCGCCTTAAGAGAGGTAGAGCTGGGTGTCATCTGCATATTGATGGACACCCAGTCCAAACCCCCTGATGATCTCTCCCAGCGACTTCATGTAGATGTTAAAAAGCATTGGGAGAGAGGAGCTGCTATATCGGTAGTTATTTGGCCACAAGTTGAAGTCCCCACTTAGTCCCCAGCATCACCTACCACACTGCTCTCCAGAGGGTTGGATGATGCTCTGGAATGCTGGCAGCTGATGCCACTGGAAGCTCCAAGAGGAATCTGCAAATGCCACCCCACCACTCCCTGGATCAAAAGCCAGAAAGAGCATTTCTGTCTGTTGAAAGTGAACTTTGGATCAGGACCAAGGCAACTTTTTAAAGTATTGTTTTTCATCGCAGCACCATTAGATGCTCTGTGCTACTGCCCTCTGTAAAATGTTCTGTGTGTTTTTGAAAGACAGTCTCTTATAAGAAAATATGAACCCACCAGCGCAATCCTACAAATGTCTATTTAAATATTTTAAATACAGACATATGGAAGCATGAGTATACTTAAACCCCTGAAAGGCAAACTAAGGAACTAGGAATGTGAACAGTTTGGCCTCTGCTTTGTTCTGATCTAGCTTTAAAGACTTAAGAGTATGTCTCTCTCTTCTTGAAACCAGAGTTGCATTTTTGGGGACTTTATGGCAGATGGATACAAAATCTCTGAGATTTATCCTATCTGTATAAGTCTGGCAAGAATTATGAAGAAAAACATCTAACATTGAAAAGTGTGTGTGGGGGGGGTGTTCTTTCTAAATTTGCATTCTATTAATAACTGGTGTTTAGCTTGACAATTATAACCTTTTTCATATCTCTGTTTTGGTGAGATGAGGCCTGTCTGGACCATAATTGTATAATAGAATTAAACGTCTTTCCATTATATGTAATTATTTCCTTGTGAAAACAAATTAAATACTGAAAGTTGTTATATTGCATTAATTTGGGTGTTAATTTGGCTTTTGTATATTTTAAGAAAGTCTTTGCCCTTTTTAACACTGTGTACTCTTGGATTCAAATTGCATGATTATGTACACACACAACTTCTGCTGTACAGATCACATGGACAAAAGCTTTGCTTTCCCCTCCACTATCAATGCTAAGTGTGGCTGGCCTCACCATAACATTTTAAATAAAAGTCATTATTCAATAGACTCAGAAACCACACTCAGCCTAACATCATTCTGTTTTAATAAGTTTGCATTGAACTGTTGTTGTTTTGCTTGATAATCTTCAGTGAGCCATAGTTCAAAATCTTGTCTGATCTTTCTAGTCATTTTCTAATCTGAAAGAAAACCCACATCTAACGTGAGAACAGATATTAGGGCAAGGCCCAACTCAGAAAATAGACAAGGAGAAGAAGCATTTGTTCACCACATTGAATATCATTCCATAGAGCATCTTAATGTACAGGGATGATAAACAGAGCCATGTGGACTCTGCTAAATGAGAAACAAAAGGATGTCACAGCAGAATAATGGGAGCTCATCTTTAACACTTTTCCATATCTGTTCTGCATGAAGGCAATGTCTCAGTGTTCCATGGAACTGAGTGGCCCAGGAATTTTGGGGAGGGGAAAAATTTTGCTATGAACAATGAGGTTCCAGAAGAAGTGAAATCTCCCACTCAGTCATGAGAACTGTAGCAGTTGACTTCCCTCTTCTAAGGTAGAGTCCATCACCAGTGGGTGGCTACTATCCAAAATCATAACTAGAACCATTACATTAACCAAAGAATAAAGGTAAAGGGACCCCTGACTATTAGGGCCAGTCGTGGCCAACTCTGGGGTTGCGGCGCTCATCACGCTTTATTGGCTGAGGGAGCCGGCGTACAGCTTCCTGGTCATGTGGCCAGCACGACTAAGCTGCTTCTGGAGAACCAGAGCTGCGCACGGAAACGCCGTTTACCTTCCCACCGGAGCAGTACCTATTCATCTACTTGCACTTTGACGTGCTTTCGAACTGCTGGGTTGGCAGAAGCAGGGACTGAGCAACGGGAGCTCACCCCGTCGTGGGGATTCGAACCGCCGACCTTCTGATCAGCAAGTCCTAGGCTCTGTGGTTTAACTCAGAGCGCCACCCGCGTCCCTCGTAACCAAAGGGTAGGGCATTCAAATTGGAAAATGGGGGAGGGGAGTCACTTAAGTACAGTAAGTGCTAAATCAAGCACAACTATTGAAATACAGTGTTCAATTCCCCAGTTTGTGTTTTGAAAAATGAAATGAAACACCAGTACTGTATTTATAAACACATAGAAAGATGAAATGTGCAGATTATGCCAGCAGCTGTTTTCAGGGTAAGCAGAAGGGGGGGTTCTCCCACTTCTATTGATCAGACAACAAGCTCACTGGCAGACCAACTCTGCTTCTGCATTACAAAGATGTCTGGAAATGTGACACGAAGGCTGGTGACATTAACCCCACCATGTGGGAATCCCTTGCAGACAACCATAGTGCCAGGAGACAATCAGTCAGGTTGTGTATCCACAGCAGTGACCAGAGAAGGAATAACCACTGAGAAGAGTGCAGAAAGAAGAAATGCTATGGTACATCTGCATCAGCTCAACCAGATGCCTTCATCTGCACCAACAGCAACAAAACATGTATCTCCTGTATTCGTCTCTATAACCACAGCAGGCGCTGTGACTCTCCAGTGGTTTGACTTCACCCCTGAAGGCGCATTCTTCCACTGTCACCCAAGACAGACAGAGGCCAACAGCAGCAGTTATCGTCCACTCTGAAAACTGCACAGTGCACAAAAGTGGCAGAGGCATAAACAACCAAGGAACATTTTCCATATTTCTTGATGCACAGCTATTCATCGCCTCACAGTTTGTTGTGTTCAAACCAATGTCGAATAAATTCTAATAGCTCCAAAATGTTTATAGCTAGTATTGCCTGTAAAAATAAAGGGGGGGGGCTCAACTCCCATCCTAAAATAAAATGAAAAGGATATGATATTCTTGCTCTTTCCCCCTTCATTTAAACGGTTTTACTGATTTGATGATAGCGTGCTGAAGAATTGCAAAAAACTGGGCAGCTGTCAACAGTGTATTTGGCAGACTCCTAAATTTATTATGTAGTCCATCTACCATCTGCCAGACCTGACCCTCGCATCTTCCCTGTTAACAATCTTCACATACAATCTCTTTCCAACTCCCATTGGGGTCTAGCCAACAGCATTCACACACACACACAAATTCTTCCTGTGAATTACAAACAACATGCAAACATCTATCCTCTGGCAATGGGGGGTGGGGGTACTTCACAAGGGTGCTATGTGTAGTGCAAATTGTTTGTTTGAATGTCACAGAAACAGCATACACGCTTGTAATTTCTGCACGAGTAGCAAAACAGAAAGGGGGAAAAAATGAGAGTCCTCATTGCTGTTTCCTGCTAATAATCCACAGGCTGCCAAAGTAACTTGAACCTCTCTCCTCTACACACCCAGTCCCTAAGTCACTAACCTTCCCAACAGCACTGACAGCAATGATTGCCTGGAAAAGAATTGCAAAAGCTAAGAAAAAACAGCTTTCCATACAAAAAGAATTTGGGGGGCTGAACTGTGATCAGAGTGTTAACCTACCAATGCAAATGTGGTGGCAATGTTGAAATCTTTCTTCACACACAGATACACATATGGACATCAAGCTGCTATTCTGTGCCTCCTTACCTGAGAGCAAGCCCTACTGAGTTCAATGGGGCTGACTTCTGAGTAGACATCCACGGATAGAAACCGACACTGCAGCTATTTTTCAACTTGCCCTCAGTTCTCCTCGTTTCTATGCGCAACCCATCGACACACTTTATCTCGTTATTACATCAGAGAATATTGCCTCAGTGATGTAGAAGAGCACAGTACATCTGGTAAGTAAGGAAATAAATCACAAGGCTGGCTTTTGGGAGTCCTCCACCCCCCACCCCACCCAATACCCTGGTTTGAATAAAAAGAATTGTTTCATCATCTGCTGCTTCCCTGCTAGCTGCTCAGCCCTGTAGGCTCATATGGCCTGTTTTGGCTTAGGAGAACTTTCTCACTAGCAGATGAAGGCTGGCACACACCAAAAAAGAGGTTCACAGCTGTGCAATATGCTGCGCTGCATTAACTACAAATCCCCAGCTACATTATGAAATTTTTATTTCATACTCCGCCACCCCCCACCCCACCCCCCAAATATGAAATCTGTACTTGCTACATTCTCAACTTGACAGGATGACAGGCACACAGAAGATTAGGCCAGCCCTCTTGTCTGGCAAGAGTAATTTTCTAAAAGCTAAACTTCTGGTGTCAGGAACTCCCACTTTCTTCTCAAACTTGTATATGCATAAACCGTAATTTCATCCACAGTTTTCTTAATTAAACCAAATGCGCACATGTAACCGAGCAAATGTTTTCACTAGGTACACTTGCATGAAATAATCTGCCCAAATATAGGAAGGTAGGAAGCTCAGGAGGGTAGGAAGCTCAGGAAGGTAGGAAGCTAGGAAGGTAGGTAGAGACATCACCTTGCCAACAAAGGTCCGTATAGTAAAAGCTATGGTTTTCCCAGTAGTGATGTATGGAAGTGAGAGCTGGACCATAAAGAAGGCTGATCGCCGAAGAATTGATGCTTTTGAATTATGGTGCTGGAGGAGACTCTTGAGAGTCCCATGGACTGCAAGAAGATCAAACCTCTCCATTCTGAAGGAAATCAGCCCTGAGTGCTCACTGGAAGGACAGATCGTAAAGCTGAGGCTCCAATACTTTGGCCACCTCATGAGAAGAGAAGACTCCCTGGAAAAGACCCTGATGTTGGGAAAGATGGAAGGCACAAGGAGAAGGGGACGACAGAGGACGAGATGGTTGGATAGTGTTATCGAAGCTACCACAGCATGACTTTGACCAAACTGCGGGAGGCAGTGGAAGACAGAAGTGCCTGCCGTGCTCTGGTCCATGGGGTCACGAAGAGTCGGACATGACTAAACGACTCAACAACAACAAAAGGAAGCTCTCTTAGTATAAGTCAGACCATGGGGGGTCTATTTGGCTTGGTGTTGTCAACAATGACTAGCAGCCGATCTCTAGGGATTTCAGACATCTTCTACGTGGAGATATAAGAGATCAAACCTGGGACCTTTTCGATGCAAGGCACATGGTCTATTACTGATCAGTCACACTTCTGATTGCCCAGTTCCTAAGGCAATCAAGTCACTAACACATACTCACAAATTGATAATAATAAGTAATAATAATAATAATAATTTATTTGTACCCCGCCCATCTGACTGGGTTGTCCCAGCCACTCTGGGCGGCTTCCAGTGTATATGAAAACATAGTAAAACAATAAACCTTAAAACCTAGAACCCTAAGTGAAGGATAGGGCTGGGAGATACATCAATATATCATCCAAAGCTGGTTTGAAGCTCATATTGCTATATCGATTTCATAATTTTTGACCTGATGTATCATGATGTGTGTGTGTGTGTGTGTGTGAGAGAGAGAGAGAGAGAGAGAGAGAGAGAGAGAGAGAGAGCTATGCAAAAATAACAATGTGGGGAAAACCGTGAAGCCAGCCAATGCTTCTCTCGATTCCTGCAGCTCCTGTTAACTCTGCCAGCTCAGTATATTGCTGCAGTGTATAGCTGGTGATACAGTGCTATGTTGAAAGCTACTTACTGCCCGGCCCTGTTGAAGGGGAGCTAAAAGGCAGCAGAAGCATTGCAACCACCAGCAAACACTTTAGCACATATTAGGTAAAGGTAAAAGGTACCCCTGCCCGTATGGGCCAGTCGTGTCCGACTCTAGGGTTGCGCGCTCATCTCGCTCAAGAGGCCGGGAGCCAGCGCTGTCTGGAGACACTTCCGGGTCACGTGGCCAGCGTGACTAAGCGGCATCTGGCGAGCCAGCACCAGCGCCGCACACGGAAACGCCGTTTACCTTCCTGCTATAAAGCGGTACCTATTTATCTACTTGCACTTAGGGGTGCTTTTGAACTGCTAGGTGGGCAGGAGCTGGGACCGAACGGCGGGAGCTCACCCCGCCGCGGGAATTCGAACCGCCGACCTTGCAATCAGCAAGTCCTAGGCACTGAGGTTTTACCCACAGCGACACCCGCGTCCCTGCACCACCCGCGTCCCTGTACTTTAGGACATATTAGCATGTATCAAAGTTAGCAACCTCCAATGCTATGAAAGCTGAGGGAGCTAAACAGGCTTTGGGATTGGAATATTGTGAAGCTGGTTTTGTTGCCGTTAGCATTGTCCCACTTATTTAAAAATCATTTTGAACTTCTTTCTAACTTGTGTATTTTTAAACTTGGGGATTAAAAGATGTGAGGTGTGCCTGGGAAGAAAGGAGCTGGGGAGAGAACAGGGACTTTTATCATTCTTTTATCTAAGCAAGCCACTCACACCACAAATAAGGCAGCCTTATTTGCATCTGAACTCCCTCTCTAACCCCAATTTAGTTCTCCATGTTCTTTTCTGCATGCCTTTCACCCTTCCTTCAACCTTGCCTCCTCTCCAGCCATGCCGTCTCATATCACCCTCATCTGTCCCACCTGCAATAAAACATGTCTCTCCTGTATCAGTTTCTACAGCCACAGTATGTGCTGTAACACTCCAGCGATTAGACTTTGCCCATGAAGGCACACTCTTCCATTGTCTCCCAAGACAGACGGATGCCAATAACAACATATCATGACATACAATGACTGTGAGATCCACAAGTACATCTCTGGTCAAATGTCAAAGCGGACACACAATAACATCCTATACTGGTTATTATTTTTCAATTAAGTTGTGTCCTTGTGAATAATAATTTTATTCTAATCTCTAATGGCAAGAACAGAGGTTTTGAAAGCAAAATGGTGTCAATGTCAACAAAAGGAAGATGCTTCTGTCTCTTCTAGGGGAATGCCAAATGTATGCGGAAGACAACTTCCTTCAGCAATGGCACAGGGCTATGCTCACCCACTATTTCTCAGTCTAACAATCTGCAAGCCGATGTTCAACTGGTTGGCTTTGAAATGGCTGAGCAGCGAAGTTCATTTTAGCTATAACTCAGCCCTAATTTTATCTGTCAGCAATTTTATGCAGCTTCCCAGACATAATAGGTGATTGCCAAGTTCGTTTTTGAATAAAACCACCCTTCTAAAAAAAGCATCGTATTAATATGTCAGCAGGCAATGAAATATTTTCATTCGACAGTTTTTCTTCAACATTTGCTTATGCACCAACATAAAACGGGATTTTTTTTATAAAAAAAATAGCAATTTCATTAGGTGCTAGTCTGAATGTTTGTTTGAAAGCATTTGATTTGGCATAGCTGTTCTTTCCGTGGTCCCCACACCCAAATCTCCTGACTGGGCAATGCTGGTTTGTTAGTTTCAGGACTGAAGTTGGTCTGATATGAGAGGTCAAAAAGTAATCAAAATAGTAAGAACCACCGCCAAGAGAAAAAGAGAATTGTGAGATTTAAAAATGCCCTGATTGTGCTGTTATAACACATAAAGTGCTAAGAAAATCTCTTTCCCCCCCTCCAGGCTTTATGAACTCTGCCCTCCAAATGGACACCGATTCCAAAATGCGCTTTTAAGTTTGCTTAGCCCCAGTTTACACTGGAGGACAACAAGATTCAGATGTAGTTGCTGTTCATCTCTAAACTCTGTGATTTAGGATTTGCCATTGTGCCTATGTAACCCCTGTGGCTTCAATACACCTGTTACTTTATTGAAGGCTTTTAAGCTATTGTGCACAGATTGGGTTAGGGAGGAGCGGAAGTACATGACAGAATGCTTTCAAGGCTTTAGGTAAAGGTAAAGGGACCCCTGACCATTAGGTCCAGTCGTGGCCGACTCTGGGGTTGCAGCGCTTATCTCGCTTTATTGGCTGAGGGAGCTGGCGTACAGCTTCCAGGACTTGTGGCCAGCATGACTAAGCTGCTTCTGGCGAACCAGAGCAACGCACAGAAACGTCGTTTACCATCCCACCGGAGTGGTACCTATTTATCTACTTGCGCCGGTGTGCTTTCAAACTGCTAGGTTGGCAGGAGCAGGGACAGAGCAACGGGAGCTCACCCCATTGCGGGGATTCGAACCGCCGACCTTCTGATCGGCAAGTCCTAGGCTCTGTGGTTTAACCCACAGTGCCACCCACATCCCTCAAGGCTTTAGATGCCCTTTTAACTAAGAACTGCAAGAACAGGATATTCAGAGCAGGCCTGGGCTATCTAGTTATTTTTAAAAGGCGAGTTCTATCCACCCCAAGTAGAATTCAGCGCAGCACTGAGGAAACTGTTCCATCAACACAAGAATTTCTGCTTGTCCAATTTCTGCCCTTTCCTTCCTGCACACACTGTTCTGGGGTTCTCCTGGCCCCCTAAGCCAACTGAGGAGGCAGTGGCATAGTGTGGGTTGCCAGCGCCTGGGGCCGCATGGAGGATGGCAGATTGGAGGGAAGGAAACCGATGGAGTACACATGTCCCTTCAACTGCCTAATGGTGTCCACATCACCCAGCAACCAGAGAGATAAGAAAAGAAGAGTCATTCTGTTGTCTGGAGAGCTCACTTCCTTGCTCACATGGAGAAGCCATCTTCAACAGATCCCAGCGACAGAAGTGCACAGCTGTATTGTGACAGCACCAGATGCTGAAATATTGTGCCCTGAACAATTCTGTGCCTGGGGCAACTGTCCCTGTGCCCCCCACATGCTACACCGCAAGGGGAAGGAGGGGAGGAAGTCCCATACGCAAGCAGGAAACCTTGCAGTAGACTCCACTAGTGGAATGGGATGATTGGATCCAGCCTATTATTATTATTATTATTATTATTATTATTATTATT